CCTGGGGTGGGAGGGGTTTTTGATGATGTTGGTAGCCTTTCCACGGCAACGAGAAGTGTAAATGGAGTCTATGGATGGGAGGTTGGCTTCTGTGATAGTCTGGGCTGTGCACAGAACTTCCTGTAGTTTCTTACAGTCCTGGGCACAGAGGTTTCCCTACTAGGCTGTTATGCACCCGGATAGTATGTTTTCTGTGGTGCATCTGTAAAAGTTGGGATTCACTGTAGGGACTCTATGGCTCTGTGATAAAAGAACAGAATGAAAGGGAAGGAGAGGCAGGGATGAGGGATTGAGATACTGGATTAGTGATCCTATCAGCGATACAATTTAACGTGAAATAGAAAAGACTCAAAACATATGTGGATGTCCTTACTGGAGAAGGTGCAAAACTTGACCTACACTTGGAAAATAAGGCAGGGCAGGTGATTGAGGTGTCAGTGGGAGAGCACTTTGTGTCCAATGACCATAATTCTATTAGTTTTAAAATAGTGATGGAAAAGGATAGACCGGATCTAAAAGTTAAAGTCTTAAATTGGAGGAAGGCCAGTTGTGATGGTATTAGGTAAGAACTTCCAAAAGTTGGTTGGGAGTGGATGTTTGCAGGTAAAAGGGTGGCCGGAAAATAGGAAGCCTTCAATAATGAGATAATGAGAGTCCAGAGACAGTATGTCCCTGTTACGGTGAAGGGCAAGGCTGGTAGGTGTAGGGAATGCTTGACGACTAGAGAAGTTGAGATTTTGGTCAAAAAAAAGTGGGAGGCACATGTCAGCAAAGATCGAGTGAATCCCATGAAGAATATAAATGCAGTAAGATCATACTTAAGAGGGAAGTCAGGAAAGCAAAAAGGGAACATGAAATAGCCTTTGGCAAATAAGGTTAAGGAGAATCCAAAGATATTTTATAAATACATTAGGGACTAAAGGGTAACTTCGAAGAGAATAGGGACCCTTAAAGATCAGCAAGGCCGCCTGTGTGTGGAATTGCAGGAAATGAGGGAGATACTAAACGAGTATTTTGCATCAGTGTTTACTATGGAGAAGGATGTGGAAGATAGGGAATCTGGGGAAATAAAAAACAATGTTTTGAAAAATGTCCATATTACAGAGGAGGAGGTACTGGACGGCTTAAAATGCATAAAAGTCGATAAATCCCTGGGATCTGATCAGGTGTACCTTAGAACTCTGTGGGAAGCTAGGGAAGTGATTCCTGGGCCCCTGGCTGAGATATTTGTAACATCAATAGCCACAGGCAAGGTGCTGGAAGACTGGAGGTTGGCTAAGGTGGTGCCACTATTTAAGAAAGGTGGTAAGGAAAAGCCAGGGAACTATAGACCTGTGAGCCAGACATCAGTGGTGGTCAAGTTGTTGGAGGGAATCCTGACGGACAGGATTTACATGCATTTAGAAAGGCAAGGACTGAGTAGGGATAGTCAATGTGGCTTTGTGCATGGGAAATCATGTCACACTAACTTAATTGAGTTTTTTGAGGAAGTAACAAAGAGGATTGATGAGGGCGGAGTGATGGATGTGATCTATATGGACTTCTGTAAGTCATTTGACAAGGTCCCTCATGGAAAACTGGTTAGATCCCATGGAATACAAGGAGAACTAGCTATTTGGGTACAGAATTATAGAATCCCTACAGTGTGGAAACAGGCCCTTCGGCCCAACAAGTCTGCACTGACCCTTGGAGCATCCCACCCAGATCCATCCCCCTATAACCCACCTAAGCTACACATCCCTGAACACTACGGGCAATTTAGCATGGCCAATCTACCTAGCCTGCACATCTTTGGACTGAGAGGAAACCCACGCAGACACGGGGAGAATGTGCAAACTCCACACAGACAGTTGCCTGAGGGTGGAATTGAACCCATGTCCCTGGCACTATGAGGCAGCAGAGCTAACCACTGTGCCACTGTGCCACCTTAAACAGAACTGGCTCAAAGGTAGGAGAAATAGAAGGGTTGGTGGAGGGTTGCTTTTCAGACTGGAGGCCTGTGACCAGCGGTGTGTCACAAGGATCGGTGCTGGGTCCACTGCTTTTTGTCATTTATAGAAATGATTTGGATATGAACATAGGAGGTATAGTTAGTAAGTTTGCAGATGACACCAAAATTGGAGGTGTTGTAGACAGCGAAGAAGGTTACCTCAGAGTACAACGGGATCTTGATCAGATGGGCCAATGGGCCGAGGAGTGGCAGATGGAGTTTAATTTAGATAAATGTGAGATGCTGCATTTTGGAAAGGCAAATCAGGGCAGGACTTATACACTTAATGGTAAGGTCCTGGGGAGTGTCACTGAACAAAGAGACCTTGGAGTGCAGGTTCATAGTTAGGTTCATAGTTCCTTGAAAGTGGAGTTTCAGGTAGATAGGATAGTGAAGAAGGGGTTTGGTACGCTTGCCTTTATTGGTCCGTGCTTTGAGTATAGGAGTTGGGAAGGTCATGTTGCAGCTGTACAGGACATTGGTTAGGCCACTTTTGAAGTACTGTGTGCAATTCTGGTCTCCCTGTTATAGGAAGGATGTTGTGAAACTTGAAAAGTTTCAGATAATATTTACAAGGATGTTTCCAGGGTTGGAGAGTTTGACCCATAGGGAGAGGGTGAACAGACTGGGGCTATGTTCCCTGGAGCATTGGAGGCTGAGGGGTGACCTTATAGAGATTTGTAAAATCATGAGTGACATGGATAAGGTAAATAAACATGGTCTTTTCCCCAATCCAAAACTAGAGGGCATAGGTTTAAGGCGAGAGGGGAAAGATTTAAAAGGGACCTCAGGGCAACTTTTTTCATGCAGAGGGTGGTGTGTGTATGGAATGAGCTGCCAGACGAAGTGGGGGAGGCTGGTACAATTACAACATTTAAAAGGGATCTGGATGGGTACATGAATATGTAGGGTTAGGGTTTAGAGGGATATGGGCCAAATGCTGGCAAATGGGACTAGATTATTTTAGGATATCTGGTCAGCATGGATGAGTTGGACCAAAGGGTCTGTTTCTGTGATGTACAGCTCTATGATTCTAAATGGACTGAGGTGGAGAGTACATTGTCTTTGGCTGCCCCTTTGATATGAAGATGTTGTCTACTCAGAGTCGTGAATATCGACTGCGGGTCTTGTTGTGACTGAACAATCAAATTCTCGACCCACAGATGTTTTGGGTACATGGGGCAGCAGGATGTTGAGGACAGTGTGTGCTGGAGAGCAGGGTATTCCACCTTTTTTCTGCTGCTGCTGTGCCTCACCATGACCTTGTCTGGGCTTGGAGCCTGGTGCATTTTTATGCACCATGCTCTGAACAATCAATAGTAAACTCCTCCCAACCATCACTGTTAATACAGCGAGTGCCTTTGATCTTTGTCCTTGGTGTCACTGGAAAGCTAGTCCCTTGAGTATGTCTAAATGGAAACCTTTCTAACCTCACTTGTGCTCATGCCAAAACTAAACTGGGCACTACAGAAATACAGTTTGCAAAGGAGTGCAGTGTCAGGACCACCCTAGATCTCTTCAACTTTACTTCAAAGAAGTATGTCCTGTCCTTAAATTTTTGTCAAACAAAGATCATATGAACCCAGATCTGATTAACTTAATATGCCACCTCTCATGGGGATTCTAGGAATGATAAAATAGGTCAGGAAGGATCCCACTCTCTAAATGAAATTACCATGATTACTGAGATCCCCGGTCCATTGCCCATTATTGGACACAGTAATTAGGTTGTGGTCCTTCAGTTTCCCAGTTTTGTAATTTGTGTAATTTTGCGTTATCTTTGCAAGCAGGAGGCGAGAAAATGGTAATGTTTACCCACAGATAGTGAATCTATGGGGGCTGTGGAGTCCTGCGCTGCAATGTCATTTCCAATCGGAAGCCTGGGGTCTCTTAATGCCTCTCCTCCAAGATAGCCCTGGGGTTAGGGGCTTATCGGAGCTATCTGTGCAAACAGAGCCCTTTCTCAGCACAGGCAGCCCTGGCTATCCCCCAGAGATAGGGAGAGACAGATAATTCCTGGGAGTGTGGAGTTGTTGACGGTTTGCTGTGTCTGGTTTAATCTCACCCTTTCAGTTCCTTGTGTGAATGGGATTGTGCACGGACACAGGCAGGGACTCAGAGACTGGGAGGGAGCTGGGTTCAGTGTTGCGGGCCCCTGGATAACCCTTCCCCTTCCCCGTCTCCCTCCCTTCCTCATCCTCTCTCGGTCTCCCCTACCCCTATCTCTCCCTCTCCTCCTCCCCCTCCAGAGGCTATTCGGGCTAACTGACTGACTGAGACTGGGGCCATCACAGAGGAAGGAGGGACAGACCCCGATGGGAAAGGAGGCGGTTCCTACCAGGGACTGGAAGAACTGAGAGAGAGACAGGGATGGAGAGAGCAAGAGACAGAATGAGAGGCACAGAGAAGGGAAGGCGGGGATAGTGAGAGACAGACAGTAATAGACTACAGACTGAGAGACAGAATAGAGAGAGACAGACAGGACAGAGAGAGACAGAGAGAGACAGACAGGACAGAGAGAGACAGAGAGAGACAGGATAGAGAGAGAGAGA